CTTGTGTTGTAAGCGTTTCACCAAATTCTTTTTCGGTGCTGCGGCGACATGGCAAGGTGATTTTTACGTAACGTTACACAAGAAGTTTTTTTCTTTGAATTTGAATCATTGATTTTCTGGATACGGTTCATTACATTTCATAAAAACTCAAAAAAAAGTAGGATTTCTTTATACTCTAGAGATTAATGATGTTAAAATATATTTAATAAAATGTGCATCAAAGTTGGTTTGAAGATACTGAAAATAACTTAAAAGATAATTTACAATTGCGTTTTTATAGACTTCAAGTGCGCATAGGAGAAGCTCTCATTTCATTGTAAGTTGACGTTGAAAACTGTTTCAACATTATCTGAGATATATCAAAGAACAAAAAGATTTTTGTTTTTCACAAGAGATAAATAATACTTTAATACTTTTGGAAGAAGGTAACTCTTTGTAATACCTACTTTCAAAATTTTACCCTTTCAAGTCCTTCTTCGTTTGTATTTGAGAGGGGTTAAAGGTTAAAGTAGCAAAACTTAGATGTATATGTCCGTAGTTATTGCATACAAATTACAGGGTTTGGTGGTTCGGTGTCATTTTTTGTTGTGATTCTCCCGACTTTCCTTGTTCTCTATTTTTCTTCAAATAATTGATCGAGATCATCTTCTGCATTATAGGTGTTGCCTGATCTCTGTATCTGTGAGTTTGGGAGGGTGGTATGCCACAGCACTTAGGCCACAGTATGTCTGATGTACGAGTTCCACAGCCCTTATCGTTTGAAGGTAATGTTGCAGAAAATTTTTGCAAGTTTAAACAGTCCTTTGAAATATATTTGCTTGCTAGTGGCAAAAGTAAGAAAGAAGATAAGGTGAAAATAGCTTTGTTTCTTAATCTTATGGGAGAAGAAGGCTTGGAGGTGTACAATAGTGTAAAATTGACTGAAGCTGATAAAGATGACTTTGAAAAAGTATTGTCGGAGTTTAATAAAATACATGACCACGTAAAAAGAATGTAGCGTATAAGAGGTTCTTATGCTATAATAAGAACCAGGATGAAACTGAACCGTTTGATCATTTTTTAACAGAGCTTAAGAAACTTTCTAAGACCTGTGATTTTGATGCCTCTTGTGACTCTATGATCAGAGATAGAATTGTATTTGGTATACGCAGCTCAGAATTACAAGACAAATATTTCTTGTTCCCTAGACTATTTTGTTGAGTGTATATATTTTTAATTACTTATCACCAAAGGCAGAGTTAACAAGGTACCTAGGAGAAAAAATACCAGCATACAGTAAGAGTGCTGAACATCAACTGGGTAAGAATATTATAAGTTACGAATACCGAAGTTATTCCAATGCTGAAATTTTCCAAGATGTAACTTATCATAGACATGAAGAAGCTGACCCGTTCCTTATTTTTTATGCAGCCCGTTTAACTAGACAATATGGAAAGAACATTTGGCTCACAATCAAAAGTCGATACCGACGTATTTGTTATCCTAGTTGGAGTGTAGAAATTTTTATCAACTGAAGTGTTTTTCTCAACGGGGTCCGGAAAGACAAGAAGAACGATAGATATTAAATCTGTTTATAAGGCGATTGGAACTGAACACGCTAAGGCCTTAATTGGTTTCCATGCTATCACAGGAACCAATATAACTGCATGTTGTAAATTGTTCCTGAACACAGAAGACGAGCCGATTCTCAGAATATTTGCCCATCTCGGAAGTACCTACCAGTTTTTATGATGAACATTATAAATCATCAGACAAATTTGTTTGTCCAATTTACAAGTCGAAAAGCATATGTACTGTTGCAGACCTACGTTCGAACTTATACTCCATCAAAAACCAACACGGCGAATATCGTCCTCCAACGCTAGATACACTTAGATTTGTGCCACGGTTTGGCAAAAAAGTGTCGAATGTCTTCCAGAAGAACCCAATCCTGACAACCATGGCTGGAAGCTTACAGATGGAATGTATCAGGGTATACCCCTGACGAATGGTACAGCCCCAGAGTCTATTATTTACTTAATTAAATGTAGCTGCAAAAAAGGCTGTAGTGGAAACTGCATTTCTAGGAAAAATTCATAACCTTGTTCCAAGTCTTGCTTATTTTTGGAGTTTGAGTGGACCAATAATGAAGCAAATAGTCTGGACAATAATCTGGATGTGTCGTCAAATACAGATAGCGAATAATCTTTGCATCTTTGTTTCTGTATTATTTACAAAACATTTGACTGAGTTTCTACATCTAGAAGGTTTTTCATTACTTTTTAGGTCCTAAGAAATGTTAGCCTTGGCCCCCACAAGTAAATTGATGAATGACTGTTATCTAGAGATTGCTCAAAAATAAACACAGACAAATTTGCAGGATTTTAAAAGATGGTCTAAACGATAAACATTTCATAGGGAGAATCCGGAAGTAGCATTTTTATTGTTTTTTGGAATTCCCATTAAGAAACATATCTTCTCTAACTAGCTGATTTTAGGCACACTCTGTATAAAATATTTTCATGTAAAAGATAGCTCTAGGTATATTTGGCATAATACTGTATTTAGTATTTACGTGAAAAATCGGCTTTTAAGAAATTTGACTATTTACGTGAGAAAATCTGTTTTTAAGGAATTTGCTTGTATGCTTATCTTGGAACACCCTGTAGCTACTTTTACTACTGATTTTTTTACTAAAACTTTACTGTTATAAATTTCAAGACTTTTTTTTATAAAACTTATGTAGTTATCTAATTTTTAATGCCAATCATAATTTTTAATAAATTTCTTAGCATTTTCGAAACCTGGTTGATTTGAACAAAGGTAAAGCAGAATTCGTAAAAAACAACATGGATGTATTCGATGGTCTGGGCAAATTTTTTGAAATTAAAAAATGGTTCCATTGCTAGGCCACCTAGGAGGGTCCCTTTGTCACTTAAAGATCGATTAAAAGAAGATTTGAATGATTTGCTTCATCGTGGAATAACTGCAAGGTGCGAAGGTCCCACTGAATGGCTCAGTAACTTAATCATAGTAGAAAAAAAAAAGATAAAACTCTTAGGCTTTGTCTAGACCCTAAGGATCTTAATTTTGCTTTACAAAGAAAGTTTTGTTTAATACCAACATTAGGTGATATAAGTGCTAAATTAAAAAATAAATCATATTTTACAGTTTTGGATTTCAAAGAGGGGTTTTAGCAAGTTGATCTTGATGAGTATTCAAGTAAGCTTTGCTCTTTTGGAACTCCTTTTGGAGCTTATAGATTTTTACGCTTGCCGTTTGGGCTTAATTGTGCCCCAGAGTTTTTTCAACAAATAAATGATGATGATTTTGGCGACATTCCTGGAGTAATAGTTTACTTTGACAACTTACTTATAGCAGCTGATAGTTTGGAACTTAATGACAAAATTTTGAGTGAATTACTAGAGAGAGCTAAAAATGTTGGTGTTAAATTTAATTTTAAAAAAAAAATCAATACAGAGTACGAGAAGTTGTATATTTAGGTAACATATTAGACAAATATGGTAAAAGACCGGATGAGGAAAAAATTAAATCAATTTTGTCGCTTGATGAGCCCAAAAACAAAAAAGAATTACAATGTATGTTGGGTATAATTAATCATCTTAGAAATTACATACCAAATTTGTCAGCTATCTCAACTCTAATGCGCGGTTTACTTTAAAAAAAAAACTATATTTCTTTGGACAAAGAATCATTCAGATTCATTTGATTTAATTAAAAAACTAATCAGTTCTCCTGAGGTTTTAGCTAATTTTGACGAAAACGAACCTATAGTCATACAAACAGATTCTAGTAAAAATGGTGTTGGTTGTATTCTCTTACACAAACCCGTCGCTTTTGCTTCTCGTGCACTTAGCAACTGTGAGGCAAGGTTTACTCAAATAGAAAAATAATTTAATGCTATCCTTTTGTCATGCACAAAGTTTCATAACTACATTTATGGTAGACATGTTCTTGTTTATACAGATCATAGACCTCTAACATCCATAATGAAGAAAGGCGTTGCTGAGGTAAGTTCCCCTAGATTACAAATAATGAAAGTCGAGCTACTCAAATATGTTCAATACAAACCAGGTAAGGAAATGCTGATTGCAGATTTGCTCTCGAGGAATTTTATCAAAGATGTACCCAAGGATGACAAGTTTTTAACAGAAATAGTCCACCCTATAAATGTGACTGAAGAAAGGTTGGCAGACTTTCAAAATGAAACTGAAAAAGATGTTGAATTAAGAAGATTAAAAGATATGTGCTTGACAACGAAAGTTCCTGATTTGCTTATAAAATATTATAATATTAGAATGAATTTACTTCCTTGATAATTTGATTTTTTATGGTGAACGTATAATAATACCAAAATCTTTAGGACCAAAGATGTTGGCACAACTGCATGAAAACCATTATGGAATAACAAAAACACAGCAAACAGCCAAAACAATATTGTACTGGCCAAATATCAATACAGATATTAAAACATTTATACAGAAGTATGTTAGCTTTCAAAGGCTGCAAAAAAATAATACAAAGGAGCCTTTATTCTTAAGAGATTTGCCTGACTTACCATTTTAAAAATTATAGCAAGTGATATTATGGATTTTGCTGGTCAAACCTATTTAGTCATTATGGACTATTTGTCAAAATAGTTAGAGGTGATTCATTTAGAAAATAAAAATTCTAAGTCTGTAATTAAAGCTGTGTTCTGCACACATGGAATACCACTAGAGGTTGTTGCAGATAATATGCCTTTCAGTTCGTTTTAGTGTAGTGACTTTGCAAAAGATTGAAATTTTAATTTCATTACGTCAAGTCCTTACTATTCGAGATCTAATAGGCTTGCAGAAAGGTAATAATTGCTTCATTGGTGTATAGAAATACCCCAATTTCTGGATCTAACAAGTCGCCAGCCCAACTTTTGAATAACAGGCGCATGAGATCAAAATTGTCCATTAAAGATAGCTCATTATTGCCAGAAAAAACAGATTACGAGAAAAGGAAAGGAAAAGATGAAAAATAAAAAGCAATTATATAAACATTATTATGACAGAACCACATCCAGAAGAGATTATTTTCAAGCAGGAGACAACGTGGTGGTGAAAGAAAAAAAAAAGCAATGGTCACCCGTTGTAAACAAGCTGCAAGAACCTAGGCCCTATATTGTGGAAAAAGGAAATGGTGATAAAGTACGGCGAAACAGTTTTCATTTAAGACCCTCCTTAAATGAACCTATGATAAGACCTAATGGTGTACCGGAAGATCGACCTATGACCAATTTGTCTAATTTAAGAGGTAAGGAAACTTTAAATTATAGCTCTGAAACCTTGCCTCATGTTACACCGACACATATACAGGCAAAAAGCAAACGGCTTGTGAAAGTACCTTTGTACTTCAAAGATTTTGAAATGTACTGATTGTTTAACATTTTATTATTATTAGACAGTAGTTTACCTTTTATCATAAGACAGTCGTTTACATTTTATTATTAGACAGTAGTTCACCCAAGTAGGTTTTGATAATTTTGTATGCAATGTTTTAGGTTCTGGAGTATTTTGTAATGTGGTGTAGGTAATGTTTGTGCTATTCTTAATTTGGTTTGGGTACGCACTGGCTAGCTTAGTGTTTAGTTGGTAAAGCTACTTTGTTGAGGGGAAAGATGTTATAAGTATTGCCATATGTGTCCAACGAACAAGGAGACAAGGGCTTTAGTTAGGTTCAGTTTGAGGGCTTTGAAGTATACTCCGCATCCCGAGCCTGTGCCACACACATAAATGTTCCATTAAATAGTCTGATAAGAATTTGCTCTCAGGCCTATTGGGATCATAACTTCTGGTCCTTGCATAATTAATGCTTTTCGTTTCGTTTAAAAAAAAAAACTTGCTAAAATTCTGTTTCTTCCTTGTGATCTTAGTTTGATTTTAGTTTCCTCAATTTCTCTGTTGTACTTGTTTTATCAATGAAGGTTTTCTCGAAGCTCATCCAAAATCACTAAATCCTCAATCTTGCTCGACATCCAATGTTCAGCTGCTTCCATCAGTTCTTGTAGTCTCAAAAAAGGTTCCGTCTATATTGTTGTAGTAGGTATTTGGATACTTTCATAGGTACTTTCGAGATTCTTTAAACATTCAGTTGCTTCACTTTTGGATTCTCCATTGAAAAATGTATTGTGTTTTGTCAAATCTGGCATGAATTTCTAATTTCCTTCTCGTTCCAAGGTTTCTATATCTGATGCAGATGAAATTCTGTCAAAAAGTCATCCTAAGGTCTTTTTTTTGGTTATTTTGGATCATCATTCGCAGTTCTGCTGTTATTGTTTAGCTATTAAATTCTTTAGTGATACTATCGAATCCATTTCCTCATTTATATTCTTTATCGTTTTTGAGGTTTCAAATGGAATTTTGAGACGTCCTGGTACTTAATTTGTCATTATTCCAGTAATTCTAGCAAAATCGGTCAAATTCACCACAAATTTCAGTTATTTTATTTTCCCAGGCTCAAGAGCCTTGTCCTCTACAATCGTTGGCAATCATCAGCGCTATCTGTACTTTGTCGACTGCTTTTCTGAAAAGACTTGTCGTGGTTTCGTTATACCAGTGACGCAGATTCTTCAAGTTTCGACGTCCAGGGTCTTTCTGTCTTTGCTTTTTCCCTCGATTATGAGCTTGGGAAGTAGGTATTTATCATTCCTGAGTATGTGACCGAAGTACTCTATAACTTTCGCTTTTCAAGCGTAAACATACCTTCAAGATCTTTTGACATTCTTGTTAGAACATCGTCATTGCGCACTTTATCCGTTCAAGATATTTTTAACATCCGTCTATATGTCCACACTTCAAAAGCCTCTAACTTTTTACACATGGCGCCTGTCAGAGTCCACGCCTCAGTCCTATAATAGAGAATACTGAAGACGTAGCAACTAGCAACGTAGTACTCGAGTGCGAACTGAGAGCGAGAGACCTCGACTACACAACAGGGACTTCATTTTTACAAATTATGCTCTGGCTTGTTCAATCCTGGCACGAACCTCCTGCATGTTATCCCAGTCTTCATTTACCTGCTACATCCTGTATGATTGGACCCGATCGATCTGTTGATTCTGTACCTGAAAAATACCTCCTCCAACCTGATTCTTACTAATCACCATCCATTGAGTTTTTTTTTTGCCTTTATTTTAATCCACTTTCAGTAGCCAAATGATCTCAAGCAATATTTGGAAACCTTTCAGAGAATCAGCGATTAAAACCGTATCGTCCGCATACCGAAGATTGTTGGTGTTAACGCCGTTGATAGAAATTTCCTCAGTGCAGTGTTCTAATGCTAGGCTTTATACAATGGTTTTATGTTCAAAAGGATCACATTTTGTTTAGGTCACAATATTCACTCTTTTGTGGGTCAAAAATTAAGTGTCCATACTTTGTCTCATTTCTTAATTGTTCAATAATTATTTGGTCTCTACGTAAAAAAATAAGATGATTTAAGGAGCCGCAATGAGGCTGAAATCGAAACAATAGTCGAGAGCAACAAAGAAATAAAGTGTCTAAAATCAACATTACGAAAAACCATTTTAACCTCCATGAAATACAATGGTGATAATGGAGAGAAGAAACGGACAGCTGATCTAGGAATTAATTTTCATCGAGTTCTGGAACAATAGCTATCTGTTGGAATTAAACCAATAGTTCTAACAAAGTAGTGCAAAATGAGGTTGGCGCTTCAAGTACCTACTTATAGATCGTTTCACGAGGCCCGAGGCTTCATACTTTTGACATCGAACACGTCATAACTTGAAAAAAAAGGGTTGTCGTAGATTAATTCATATACACATTCAATTTTTTTGACAAATCAAAACGAATGACTTCTGGTTTAAGAACCGACGAACGTTTTTGACGTCATTGATTTGTTTCAGTCAATTTCTATTTGTTAAAAAAAGAAGGCCAAAAGTATGAACCCTCGTGAAACAATATATAGGTACCTACTTTAATTTCAAGATACGTTACAGGTTGCAAAAATAAATCTGTGATTTTTGGTATTAAATACAAATGCTTATATTTCTTAAAGTAAGTTTCAAACAAATTTTTCATAATAAAATCACCTCAGAAATCCACTCCTGATCAATTTCCTCGATTCAGAAATTCCGAAGAATGCACCTGAGTATTAATGACCATCCTTCAACTTTAGGAAATAGTAACATGCGTTTTCCGTAGACAAAATTAATTTATGGGAAAAGAAAAACATACCCAATTCTCTAATGAACTTGCTCGTACCTAATTGACTTTAAATTACTAGAGCTTATCTTATTAATTGGAAATTGTATAATTTTACAATTTTAAATAATATTGCTGATAATACTAATCAAGATTCATTAGAATAAATAGGAATAGTTGTTGATATAAAATTTAGTACAAAATTAAAGGGTGAGTCAAAATTCAACTGAATGATCTGGTTTAAAATGCAGGGAAATGATGAAGTTGAGGTGTGTTTGTATATGTTACGTCCAAACGATGTATGTGAAAAAATACAATATTCTTTTTACCCTAGCAAAATTATTCAACAAAAGGTTTAATCATTATTTGAGTTATTCTTTCACTCCTACTCCAAGTGTCTACAAAAAATCAAATGGCTAAGAATGGGCTAAAAATACACTTATACCTATCACCCGAATCAAAATTTCCTTGCTTCATTCAACTAACAAAGTTCAAATAAAGAATGCAAACGTTGATATACCTTTGAACCTCAAATTCACAATTTTCTTGTAATTGTTGTTTTTTTTTCACATTCATTGATGATAATGTGGTACTCACCATAACTTTATTGTGAAGCACCACTAAGGGATTTACCAATTTTTTTAAAAATGTTTGTACATCAACTTGCTTTTCATTCTTAAATAATTATGCTTTTTTATTCTTAGAACGGTACCTAACAATCTATTCACTCCCAACATTCTTGGGCGCTGACGGAAAGTCCTTCAACATCAAGGTACCAATTAGCAATGACGTAAGCAAAACTTGCCGCCAAAAATTAAAGATTTTTATTTATTTGCCAAATAGGGAGATTCAGCTTGAAATGCTTGAAAAATCAATTACCACTTTCACGCTAAACTACTATTTTTAATTTTTCAATATAAATAAAATTGCGTAACGAGCACATTCTTTCAACATATCGATTGATCTTTTGACCTATCATTGGTCAAAATGGATAAGGATGACTAAGTGCTTGCCTCGAAATGCTTCAAAAACAAGAAGGATTTTTAATTATCTTGCGAAGGAAAATATAAGTAGTTTTTATTATCTTCGCCATATTATACAAAAACCAAATTAATCAGATTTTTCTTTATTGTGAAAATCAAGTGAACTTCTTATAGTTCTTCGCTTATCCTTGAGGGAACAGGCGTTCTTCCGCTCAACTGTACCATCATTAGAAATTCATTTATTGAATTATTGAAATTAATGTTTTCTTTCGATGGACACACTATTTCTCAAACCCTCAAATTGCAGTAAACCATTCATCTACATAGAGATATATACACAAAAAAGCGACATCTGATGTTAATCAACCATTAATATGAAGATATAAGAATTAATTAATCACCAATCCCGACTAAGCAAAAACCCATTAGAAATCTTAAAGACCTGCTCAACCACTTACCGACTCCATTGTTGTTTGCCTGTCGGCTAGCACCATGTTTTTCTTGCAGAAACACGTAAGCTGTCGCAAAAAAAAACTCGCAAAAACCGACCGAAATCCACTTCTTGTGGCCCTTGGCTGGTCACTTTGGTCAAAAACTCTCAACTGATTACTGAAAATTGGAAAAAAAATATCGCGCGGATTGTCCTGCAGTCCGCGCTAGTCGAGCTACAGACGCTGAATGTTACGCGATGGTACAATCGAAACGTTCGGCCTACTTTTTCCTGCAAAACACACCACGCTACTTCGCTGCTGCTAAGATCAAGTTGTTCACGAAACAAGTGAAAGAACAAAGTCATTGCGATTGGATCGGATTTAAGGCCCGGCTTAAGATAACTGGCAGTTTAAGTTTAACCCGAAGGTTAGCCATATTGGTATGTGTGTAGCTTGCAAGACAAGTTATTCTTCAATGAATGAACTTTGGAAAATCTTCTCGATAAAGTAGCAAGCAGTCGATGAAAAAGGCAAAAATGATTTCTGGTGAAATAGTAAGCATCGTTGAGGAGTGCTCCTTAAGAATTGTTAGATATTGGCATGTTTGTTGCATGAAAAAAACGATATAGGTACTGCTATCACGTATTTACCATTAAACAATAGGCCTCTTGCATCAAATAATTTTTTTTATTGCTGATTTCGATAGTCCATGAAAAATAAGTCAACGCGTGTTTTTTCTTTTTCTTGTTAGTCAAAAATTGACGGAGATAGAACGCTTTGAAATGTCTTTCTGACGTCATAACGTATAATACGTTGTGACGTCGCACATGCTTAGTATATCTATATATACAAAACTCAATATTTGTGTAACTTTCGAAATAATCATATTTGGACAAAATAAAAGACACGCATCGATTTTTTTCGATTTCCTACAGTTTGCAATAAGCAATAATTGTAACATATTCACATTCAACATTAGTATTTCTAATATTGTCATAATCTAGGAATTTATATACAGGGTGGCCAATTGAAAACGAAACAGAGGTGATTCCGGGCTCCCCAAGACATTTAAGAAAAAACCCTCGTACCCGTCGATTTTTGATTTAAGGGGGAACCATTTTTTTGGTGTTTTCACCCCCTGGGGGGCAAAGCCCTAGCGGGGGTGACAAGGGCCCCCAAAATTTTAAATGGAATGAGGGGTCGAGTGATACCTTATTTTGAAGCTATTTTTATGTAGATTATAACCCCCGAGTCTCACATCGCTACTATCTACCTAGCCATTACAGGGGCTAATTAAAGTTACAAAAACATGTTGAAATATTTTTATTTAAAAAAATGCTTTAAAAACAAAATCAATCAAGTAAATGCTGAAAATGACCTCAGAAGAAAAAATATAATGGGCTAAAATCTGGAGAACGCGGGGGCCACTCAATATTGACGAGCCACTGCAGCATAATGGGATGACGCACAATCTTGTTGGAATATTAGTGTATGCATCTGTTATCATTCTCTAGTATCTCCACCAATTTTGGATGAATCGCAACTTCTAACCACTCTAGGTACATTTCTCCTATTAAATTTATAGGTAAAAAAGGGGCCTATTTACGGTTATCAACAATGCTATCCCAAACACTCAAATAATCTACATCTCCATAATGCCCTAGGACGTTATTTCGTACGTATTATACCTGGAAATATTGTATGTATACCTGGAAATATTGTATTAAATAAATATTGTATTGAATATAAAAAAATTGTATTAAATAATGGAGTATAATTAAATGGTATTTTAGTTGATGTCCTACTAACCCCCTTTTCCGTTTTATTTCCTCCTCCCTCACTATTGAACAACTCATAACCCAATTATTTTTTTTCAATAAATGAAGCAGCAGTTTGTATATTTCTCTGATGAATGCTCCTTTTTTCTTGAACGGTACGGTAAATCGTCTCAACTGCCGCTATTGGGCTTATTCAAATCCAAGAAAACATATTTCGTGAGGTACATACGCAACATCCCGATAAATTGAGTGTTTAGGCTAGCATTTTTGGTAACCGTATAATAGACCCCTTCTTTACCTATAAATTTAACAGGAGCAATGTACCTAGAGTGATATGAAGATGCGATTCATCCAGAATTAGTGGAGATACTAGAATGATAACGGATACATGGAAAACCGTCTAATATTCCAATAAAATGGTGCGCCACCCCACTATGCTGCAGTGATTCGTCAATATTTGGACCAAAGGTTTCCAGGACAAAGGGCAATGGATTCGAAGGAGTGGCCCGCGCGTTCTCCAGATTTAAGCCCGTTAGATTTTTTCTTCTGAGGTCATTTTCAGCATTTACTTGATTGATTTTGTTTTTAAAGCATTTTCTTAAATAAAAATATTCTAACATGTTTTTGTAACTTTAATTAGCCCCTGTAATGGCTAGGTAGATAGTAGCGATGTGAGACTCGGGGGTTATAATTTACATAAAAATAGCTTCAAAATAAGGTATCACTCGACCCCTCATTCCATTTAAAAATTTGGGGGCCCTTGTCACCCCCGCTAGGGCTTTGCCCCCCAAGGGGTGAAACCACCAGGAAAATGGTTCCCCCTTAAATCAAAAATCGACGGGTACGAGGGTTTTTTCTTAAATGTCTTGGGGAGCCCAAAATCACCTCTGTTTCGTTTTCAATTGGCCACCCTGTACATATTTAGTTGTTCGTATATTTCAGTAGATGTCGCTACTGTCAAATTAGATTGTAATTGACAGACGACAGAATGTTCTGGTTCCCGCCTTCTTCCTTTTTGTAATAGTTTAGTCTAGTCGCTAGTTGCTCTAGTTAGTTGTTTTTGGTTGCTAGTCAACAAGACAATTATTGTATGTCGTCATGTTAACGAATATAACAATCAGTTTAACATTCTATATAATAATAAAAGCATACTAAAAATAATTGTGCTTCCTTCTAACATAAAATCTATACAATAATCAATTTAATTTTCCATGCAAGTACCCTATTGATCTTTGAATAATATAGTTCCTAATCCTACCTATACATATAAAATATCTTTAAGAATTCACAGGAAACTTTTTCAGAGAAAAATAAACATGATTCATTAATAGTAGATTATACCACGAGTCAATAATGATAGCTATTATTCCCGAGGAATATTTACGAACTGAGCCGCGTTAGCGGCGAGCGAGTAACATTCCGAGGGAATAATAGCCATTATTGCGAGTAGTATACTCTACTTTATTTACGACAAATTAATTTATTTTATCCCATTTTGACATTTAAAAATGACATTATTAAACGCTTAACTATAAAGGTAGGTAAGTAGACGTTTATCACCTCAGTGATTTAAAGATTTTTTAACTCACTCTCGGCATTTTTCCTTGTACTTTAGTTTTTGAATTTCCACAAAATGGGATAAAATTTTGTATACATCACGTCACATTCGAAGAAAATTAACCCACTCGCTAGGGCTCGTGGGTTAAACTTTCTTCTCATGAATAAACATTCATTTAACTCACTTGGTGTATAAATAACTATGAAATTTTCTTTCCAAAAACGTTCTTTGTTCATCCATCTCAATAAAAATACACAAGCACTACGCGTTTGACACTGATACTTTTGAGTTTGTTCAGGTATATTGTTTCCATGGTACTACTTATTTAATTTGAGAAATTTTGTGATTGATGTGCAAGCGGGAATAATGACCATTAATCCCTGCGGGAATAATATATGGCATTATACTGCCAAAATCACATATATAATACTTACATTATATGTCAGTCGTAAATAAAATTCTGAATTTTACTTGGATAGGAATACGATCGACAATTGCAAACTCACACAATATGCAGAAAATTTAGTATTTGATGAAATACCTCATGTAGAATTATCCAAAACCAAAACATTTATTATTTATGAAATTAGTGAAATATGAATTATATCGAGGGTCCGTGAGTACCTGACTCTCCACCTGCACAGGTAATGATAATTATAAAGAACAGTTTATTTGCTTATTTTGCTATTGTTACCCATTTCCACATATAAGCTCTGAGAGTTCAAAAGTACATCGATGTTGACTGTTGAGTAATGGAGGAAAATTTACCAATGGCTCCTACGGTGGAAAATGTGATTTTCCTTAGCAGAAATGAAAAGTATGTTTTCACTTCGGAAAACAAAAGGCTTTTGAGATTGGAGAGTGCATGTTGGTTTTCCCATTCCCCCTTTCACTAATTAGTACTTGGAACTGTCTATGATTACCCCAAGATATTTAATTTCGTTCGTCCGACATCGTGAATGGGTTTCCCTGAAAGTGAAGGTCCAAGTCCCTCCATTTTCCTTCTTTTGATAAAGGAAACAATTGTCGATTTGGTCGCACTAATTTTCAACCCTACAGTCTCTGTCCACTTAAAGACCATTGTTTTCTGTAACTGTAGGGTTGAATTTTCCCTGAGATATCATGACCAAGTCATCTGCATATCCCACTACTTGATGGTTATTGCTCTTCAGTAGCTTTATCAGCTCTTCCATCACCAGATTCCACAGCAGGGGTGATAACACTCCGCCTTGCGGACCCCTTATCAACCCGACCCGTTACTGTTTTACCTAGGAGCGTGGAGTCGATGACTCTACCTCAAAGCATGCAGTCTATCCATATGCAGCATGTATCATCAATACCTCGGCGTAGAGCTCTCATGATTGCCTCAAAGAAAGTGTTGTCAAACGCTACCTCTATATCAAGGAAGGCTCCGAATACAACTTCCTTATTTTCAAACGTCCTACTTTCTACCCGCTGGACGAGTTGATGTAGTGCTGTTTCAGTTGCGGCTCCTGCTTTGTAAGCATATTGGACCGGATGTATTCATGATACTAGAACACACAAGATAAGATCACGCGCATGTTTATGTTCTGTCTCTCTCCCTCCGCTGACATCATCCCGTGATAAATTCGGTCCGATTAATGGCGTCTTGGCGTGTTTTTATTCGTTTTTAATCGTTTTATCTGTATATTAGTATTTTTCTTACGTGAAAATCTCCTTGTTAAAATTGTATTCTGTTCATTTGTGTTTGAGTTTCTTTAACAAATAGTTATAGCATAAACATAAACTATGGTTTACTGTGCGGTCGTGGATTGTAGCAGGTAGCAGAAACAATAATAAAAAAAAAGTAAAAGCATGCCTAGTTATAGATATAATTGTGATATATGGGTGCTAAAACGCTATCGGAAGCTGGACTTCAGTATCAAAAATTAAATCTCCGAAAGCTGAAACATCTAAACAGAAAACAGAAAGACTATGACAAAACAAATAATAATGAAAG